AACATGGCTATCCATCTTGCTCTATATACAGAATGGCAGTCTTCCTTATAAAAGAAAAAAACACCAGTCAGCATTCTCTCCTCTCTGTTTGTGTGTACGCATAGCCCAGGTTTTTAGAATGCCAACAATTGATCAGATTTTCCGTTCTGTTTTTAATTATCAAGCAAGACTGTCCTTAGATCTGCATAATCTTGCAGAAAACGTCTTTTCCCTCATGAGAATTTCTTCCGTATATTTAATGTGCGGGGTAACCTGTAGTAATTCTGAAAGGGAGCATTGGCCTTTGCTTGCCTGAGTCCTGCTGCTTGTCTTCGGTCCTCTACATACATCAAAGGAGATATTATGCCATGTTGCTTATTTAAATGACATCGAATACTCTTTTAACCATGTCACTTGTTTGGAAAGAGGTGCTTCAGTTGTCTGGCAACTTGTTTTTTATTTCATTTGTAGCCCACTTTTTCTCTCTCTCTCTAATGGACCCAAAGTGGTTTACAACATACTTCCCCCCTCCATTTTATCCTCACAAGAACCCTGTTTGGTAGGTTACGCTGTGTGTGACTGGCCTAATGTCTCCCAGCAAACTTCCTTGGCAGAGTGGGGATTTGAACCTGGGTCTCCTAGATTCTACCCGGGTGCCACATGATGGAGTGAGCTCCCATCTCTAGTTCCAGCTCCTGCCCACCTTGCAGTTCGAAAGCAAGAAATTGCAAGTAGATAAATAGGTACCACTTTGGTGGGAAGGTAACAGCGTTCCGTGCGCCTTGGTGTTTGCCGGCCACATGACCACGGAAACGTCTGCGGACAGCGCTGGCTCTTCGGCTTTGAAACGGAGATGAGCACTGCAACCCTAGAGTCGGATTCGACTGGCTTTCGAGCAAGGGAACCTTTACCTTTACCTCCTAGATTCTAGTCCAACACTGAGTGCTACATCATGCTGCCTGGCAATGGCTTTCCCTTAGCCAGGTCAGAGTCCTGTGCATTCAGAGCGATGCTCCCTCTAAGCTGTGGAGTCTTGTGAGCAAAAATTCTACTTTAAAGTTGTGAGCGAGTGATTTGGCTACTGCATGAATTAGTTTGCTCTGGAGCCATCCTTCCTGAGCTAAGACAAAATGTGTGAGCCGGAGGCTAAAAAACTGTGAGCTAGCTCAGCTTAGAGGGAACACTGATTCAGAGGCATGAGTGCTGGATGTTTGATCTGCAGAAGACATCCACCTGGATGCTTGTAGTTCTCTTGCTCTTCCCAGAAAGTCTGTGTTGGATCTTTATCCACTCTCCTGTTACCATTTACCTTTGTCTTCCCCCAAAGTGAAGTTTTGCTTCACAGGTGAGAGTCTTACTTTACTTGAGGTGTTCAGCATCCCGATGACCTCTGAATCAAATTGGTCTCCTGTGTTTCACCAGGTATCGGAAAGAACGTCATCTGTGAAAAAGCCGCCACCTCGGTGGATACCTTCAGGATGGTGACGGCAGCCAGATACTACCCCAAACTCATGAGCATCGTGGGCAACGTCCTGCGTTTCCTGCCCGCTTTCGTCAGAATGAAGCGATTGATGGAAGAGAACTACGTGGGCGATGTCCTGATCTGTGACGTCCGAGTGTACTGGGGCAGCCTCCTCAGCCACAAGTACAACTGGATCTGCGACGAGCTGATGGGCGGGGGCGGCCTGCACACCATGGGGACCTACATCATAGACCTCCTCACTCACCTGACCGGCCGAAAGGCAGAGAAGGTCCACGGCTTGCTGAAAACCTTTGTGAAGCAGAACTCCGCCATCAACGGGATTCGCCACGTCACCAGCGACGACTTCTGCTTCTTCCAGATGCTGATGGAGGGGGGCATCTGTAGCACGGTGACCCTCAACTTCAACATGCCCGGGTCGTTCGTCCACGAGGTCATGATTGTCGGGTCCGCGGGGCGCCTGGTCGCCCGTGGGACGGATCTGTACGGCCAGAAGAACACTGCTCTCCAGGAGGAGCTCCTGTTTGCAGACTCTCTGGACATCGATGCGGGGCTTTCGGGGAAAGGATTTAAAGACATACCCACGCTGTACCTCAAAGGAATGGTACACTTGGTGCAAGCGCTGCGTCAGTCGTTCCAGGACCAGGAGGATCAGCGGACCTGGGATCCCAAGCCAGTTTCCATGGCCGCTTCTTTTGAAGATGGCCTCTACATGCAGAGTGTAGTGGACGCGATTAAGAAATCCAGCCGGTCTGGGGAGTGGGAATCTGTGGAAATCATGACAGAGGAGCCAGATGCCAATCAAAACCTCTGTGAGGCGCTTCAGAGAAATAACCTATAACAGGGGAAGTTCCTGGAGAGCGGGATAGTTGGCGGAAGTAGGCAGAAAGCTTCAAAGATGGATACTTTGGGGGGTATTGGGAGGGGAGGATGGCGGGGAAGCTATACTTGTGGGTGAAAACCTCTTAAGGAAACACTTTTGTTTTTAAACTCGTTCAGAGAGTTTTAAATATTGCAGGTCTGTGTGTGTATGTGTGGTTGTTTTAACGCTAAACTTTCTGAGTTGAGGATTGTTAGGAAAACTTGAATTGCCCTTTGCACTCAGCAGCAGCAGCTAAAACAAAAGCGTGAGAATTGCCCTTTGCACTCAGCAGCAGCAGCAGCTAAAGCAAAAGCGTGGGGTCTCCGCTGTTAGGGGCAAGTTTATGTCCCTTCTACGCACAGCTTTGGCCGTCTTACCAGTTTAATATAATAGCACTTGGCGCTAGAGAAGGCTGTTTTTAATAGGAACACAAGTTAAGCCTCCTAGGATTGTTCTTGAGGTGGGGGGGACCCTCGCAGAAGGGATGTGATGAAGCGAGTCTTTGGATTTGGCCAGTTCGGGGTCAGTCTCTGATATCCTTCCTGTGTGAATGATTCAGATTTACACAGTGAGACTGAGACTGCTCTTTGACAGTAGCCACCCTCTTCCTGTGGCTAAAAGAAAACCTTGAGTACTGTGTCCAGTTCAGCTGCTGTGTTTGCTCCTATCAGCACTGCTCTCCCATGGCAGGTTGTCCGAGGCTGAGAGGCCTCTGTGGCACTTCTTCCCCCACATTCCTCTCCTGCCCTGTTCAGTGCTGCTGAGCAGACTCCATCCACGGCCTTCCTCTGGTGAAGCTTGCTTGCCGGCACGGCAGCCAGACCCGCGGCCAGTTCTGCTGGTCTGATCATTGGCTCGTAAAGTATCTGGCTGTGTAAAGGAGGCAGGTCTTCATCTGTTGAGGGACATGAAGTTAGAACGAGAAGAAATATTTGATCGCTTCATTCAGCCACAGGCTGGTAGAGAGGAGAGTTGTTAGCTTGAAGGCGTTAAGGCCGGAAATGGCTTTGGTTAGGCAAGTGGATTTAATCAAACACTGGACGATGTTCCACACCCCCTTCTGACTTGCATTCTGTGAGAATTCCGGTGCTGCTTGCCAAACAAATCTTAGTGCGCGTCTACCAGGTCTCAGAGCTGCTGTCCTTCGCTGGGCTGAACCTGAGCAGTGGTAGCTAAAAATTTTTGTATGAGATGTATTGTTTACTTGAATGTTTTTATGGGTTCCTACTAGATTTTAATCCTGTACCTTAATATAAAGCATTAACAAGCAATCTTAATGTGTTTTGCAAGTGGCGGCATTGTTGTGGGTTTGAAATTAAGAGTGCATAATATCAGGAACTATTATTGGCTGTTCATTATGCTTCCCAGAGAAAAAAACTCTGCCGTTCCCCATCCCACCCCACTACTATGAGCTTTTAAGGTTATTTTTAATCGCAACAGCTGTATCTTTAATTCTAGTTGCAGATGTTTGTTTTCTTCCTCTGTAGTAACAAATTGCAGGCCTGACCCCCTTCTGCATTCGGGGGGCGGGGGGGGGGAGGAAATCCAAATTCTGTACTAATGGAATCTTGATTTTGCGATCACAGTGTTAGGTTGTGTGGAATTTCAGAATTGGTGTGCAGTGTGATGACAAAGAGGAAATAAGTTGAAAACTTTGGGATTGGGCGTTACAAACCGTAGCTTGGGAGGGCATGTAAGACCAGCCTCTTTGAGCACTGGGAAGTCCTCCTCCAAAGTCTTCCTTTGATTTCTGAGCCTTTAACTTGACACCACCTTGTCATCTTTAAAAAGTTCTTTCTTATATTTAAGATAAAATGCACTCTTAAAATGATCCAAATTCTGCTTTGGATTGCTAGTATGTGCTTTTATCCAAGTCCGTGGACTTGTGTCTTCATTCATCGGAAAATCTTTAAAAAGTTCTTTCTTATATTTAAGCTAAAATGCATTCTTAAAACGATCCAAATTCTGCTTTGGATTGCTAATATGTGCTTTTATCCAAGTCCGTGGATTTGTGTCTTCATCGGAAGGGCTGGCTTACTAGGTACCAGTTGCAAACTCTGTGCCATTGTGAATGATTGGTTTGGACTAAGTGGTTTCTCTGTAGTTCAGCTTGAATGACTGCACATTGCAGTTGTGTTCTTTCTGGAAAACAAAGTGTTAACCGAGTTCTTCCCTCTCCCTGATGATATAAAAATTCAAACTCTAGTGGTAAGCTCAGTGCAGAAACGGGAATGCCAAAGAATGCCTTTGGTTGTATTCCATACATATACATATTTTTGTGGCAAAGAGAAGAATGCTCCCCACCCCACGGCCCTTGCATGCTTCCCTTCCATTTTACAAACTGCTGGTTTTTTGTGTGTGGAGGGTTGTAAATTGTTTGGAGGCTGTATTCCCTGCCATGTCCAGCAAGGTTGGGAAAAGGAAGAAAACAGTTCTGGAATCCTCACTTCCATTCCTCGCTTCTGCCTTGCTAGTAGGCAGAAGAGCTTCATTTTGATCCTACAGGTGGGTATTAAACTGATTCAAACTTCAGCAGAGCCCCCCCCGACATTAGCATATTCAGTCACTCTTAAAAGGAGCATTCCCTTTCTTAGACTTGGGAAGAGCATGTTGGGTGGTGTGGATGGACTGTATCTGTCTCTGAGAACTTCTTAGCAGGTATGAAGAACTCTGCCTGACCTGGGCTGCTTCGGCCAGCATCTCCAATTTTCCTTTATTTTATCAGCCAGTGACAGGGCAAACGCACAAGCACTTGATACCCGAATGTAATTAACCACGTTTGATTAATATGTCTGGATGCGACAAAAGGAGCATCTATTAAAGAGGTGGTCTCCAGGGAGCCTTTTAAAGGACATTCTACTAGACGGCACTACTTGTGCTGTGGCGACAGTGGCGGGACGAGGTGAGCCGCGCAGACGCTGAGCATCTTGTCAATGTCCACCTGAGTAGACTTGTCCACTTCAGCCTTGGCTGCAACTCCCGTATTGGCGCTCTTTGGGCTCCTCAAGTCTCTGCCTTTGTCTTCTGCAACTGAAACGGGGAATAAAAGGTTGGTACAAAACTGTGTCCATGTGAGTCCAATGTTGTTATGGCAGTGGTGGTGGATCAGCGGATTTCTCAGCTGTGCCAGCCCGCTTCCCACTAGCACTCAGTAGCCTGAGACTAAGGAGAAGGGAAATCTTAACCGCTCGTCAGGAACAACCTCTTGCAAATTATTTTTCTACTAGACCTTCAAATGGACCGTGTTCTGCCAAATTTGCTTGCTCCATTCCATCCCTGGTCATTCCCCCCCTCACCATTGTGTTTGGAGAAGCGGAGTACAATGTACCTATCCTTTTTGTTCCCAATTTGTTACCTTTGGATGGAGCTTTTTTCAGTTCTAGAGGTCCCGTCTTGTTCTCTAGAACAGGATGTTGAATCTCCAGTGGGAGAAGCTCACATTCGTTTTCCGATGGGCTATTCATCTCTGGGTTGCCGTAGTTTATGTACTGGTATAAAGGTCGCAGACGCTGGGATTTTCCTAGAAATGAAGACACGAGCTTCAGAATACAGGTAGCTTATTGAGACTATATGTAGAACAAGAATTGTATTATCTGTTTTGCTATTGCTTTGCCCCATCTTCCTTTTACTACGATGGCTGCTTGAGATAAGGAGTGTGCTCCATTTTGTATCTAGGCTTCACTTAGTAGTTGACCCAGCAACCTGCCAATTTTGCTACTTCACATCACTTCTGGAGCAGCAGTGGCTTTTAACTGTCCTATTTATGCCCTGTGAGAAAGGCAAACCTCTTCTTGAGTAGAAGAGTTCTTCTGCGCCAGGGTTCCCTTTTCTCCATGTTAAAGTGAGTTTCATGGGGGGGAAATGGTGGGTATCTTAGCAGTAGTTTATGCAAACCGAAAACTGCCTGTTATAAACAAACAATATTTTGGGGTGAAGAGTTGGTAGCAACAACTATGTTGGAGGCATTCCAGTGCCTGAGGAACTGCACATAGGTGACCACTGATGTGTTCAAAACTGGGAGGTGTGGGGGGGAGGCCAAGCTACTAAAGTGTGGTAATTATTGAGCTGATGATTCCCTTATCTATTTCACTGATCTGCGTCATGAGAATATATATTCAGCATTAGATATCGCAGCTTCTGGCAAACAATTTGTAGAGGAACTCACTGCATACATGACTGTGTTAGAGTGTATCAGCTTGGCCTTTTTGTGTGTGTTTTTTCTTATCTGCAAGCTGTAACCTCCTTGGTTCCAGGAGTTCACTGCCTCCTTCTGTCTTCTACAAGCCAGAAGGCTGTCTTCTGCATGGAGCTACTATGAAGAATCGTGCGAAGACAGAACTACTGGGAAATCCTACCCCAAAATCTCCCCTTCCAGAATTCTGTAAGCTCTCAGTGTGTTAACCAATTTTCTTCTCCCTTTCTCTCCCCCATTTTACTTCTCAGCTGCTGTCAACTTTCTGTCCTCTTGGAGCACGCTCAGTCCTCAAGCCTGCTTTGGTTTTGCTTCTATTTAATTTACAGTCCTACTTTTCCTTCTGAATTCCTGGGGAATCCTCCCCCCCCCAAGCATGCAGAAAGCAAAACAAAAACACTGCCTTGTCCTATCTGTGGTTGGCCTGGTCTGCTGCTTTTGTGACTGGCCACAAGGTCCAGCTGATTTACCATTAGATAACAGTAATATTAGTATGGTGCACACAGTCGAATTTACACCCCAGTATCTCCCAGTGGGACGTGTACTGTGAGGGTAGCTCGTCGCTTTTCCTGTTTGCACTCACTCTCTCCGCCTGCAGACTCCGAATACAGTGTGCTCCCTGTACCGGAAGCTGGGTTCACAATGATATCCAGTGAACTTTTCCTTTTCTTGGATTTCTTGGGCTGCTTTGGGATGAGAGGAGTTTCCGCTTTGGAGCCATCCACTTCCTCTGTCTTGGGAGGGAGTTTCTTGAAATCTGCATGTTGGAAAACAAGGACCTCGGAAT